CTCTAAACACTACCGGTGGTGTTTATAGAGGTTCATCAGGGCCCGAATTTGAATTCTCAGGCAGTCCAACTGAAAAGGCAATTCTTTCTTGGGCTCCCCCGGTGATGGAGATGGAGTTGTTAAAGCAGAATTTCACAATTTTATTTACAGAAGCTTTCAATTCCAAGAAGAAACGGAGCGGTGTTCTGGTCGAGAGGAAAGAAGATAACACAATTCATGTTCATTGGAAAGGAGCAGCGGAGACAATTCTAGAAATGTGCTCAAGCTATTATGATGCCTCTGGAACTAAGAAATATCTTACCAGTGAAGAAAGGATGAAATTCAAGAAAATTATTCAGGGAATGGCGATGAGAAGTCTCCGGTGCATTGCTTTGGCCCACAAACAAATTATTGAAGAAGCGGCCGAGGGAGATTTAAAAGAAAAGAAAAGGCTTGAGAAAGAAAACTTGATCTTGTTGGCATTGTTGGGCATCGAGGACCCATGTCAGCCTTGGGTGAGGCAAACCGTGGAAGATTGCAAACAGAACACCGGCGTGCACATCAAATTGATCACCGGTGACAATGTCTTAACTGCAAAAGCTATAGCCATTGAGTGTGGGATTCTCCAACCGGATGAGGAAATGGAAAGTAGTGCTGTCATGGAAGCCAAGGAATTCATCAGGAAATGTACATCAGAGCAGGGGAAGGAGATAATCGACAAAATCTGCGTCGTGGCAGGAGCATCTCCTAGTAAGAAACGTCTTGTGTTGGAATGCCTGAAAGATAAAGGACAAGTAGTTGCAGTCGCCGGTGTAAACGATCCTGAGGTACGCAATACTGTCATCTTGGATGATAATTTTGAAAATGTGGCTACGGATTTGAGGTGGGGAAGATGTGTCTATACCAACATCAAGAAATTCATCCAATTCCAGCTCACTATAAACGTTGCTGCTTTAGTCATCAACATCGTGGCAGCCGTATCTTCGAGCAAAGTTCCTTTAGAGACTGTCCAGTTGTTGTGGGTGAACTTGATCACAGGCCCATTGGGTGCTCTGGCTCTGGCTACAGAGGAACCCACGGCGGGGCCGATGGAGAAGCAATCGGTTGGCCAGGAGCCACTCATTACCAACATCATGTGGAGAAACCTCCTAACTCAAGCTTTTTACCAGATAGCAGTGCTCCTGACGCTTCAATGCAAAGGGAAATTAATCTTCGGCGTGACAGAGGCCGTAAATGACACCTTGATCTTCAACACGTTTGTGCTCTGTCAAGTTTTCAATGAATTCAATGCTAGAAAGCTCAAGAAGAAGAACATATTCGAGGGCATTGAGAAGAACAAAAGGTTTTTGTTAATTGGTGGGTTAACAATTTTTCTCCAGGTGGTCATGGTGGAGTTTTTGAAGCAGTTTGCCAACACAGAGAGGTTGAATTGGGAACAATGGGTTGTCTGCCTCACCATAGCTGCTGTCTCTTGGCCCCTTGGCTTGATTGTCAAGTGCATGCCAGTGCCAGAGAGACCAATTTTCAGCTATCTTTGGGAAAACATATGAGACTTCAAAAATTCATTCATTCTTAAAATTTTTGCTAGCATATATCTGTACGTCGATTCAATTTCATGCATAGACTGTGTAGGAAACATTTCTTACATGTATAAAATAACCTGATTTTTTTTCTTTTGATATAGAAAACATTTCAAGCAACACAATTAATTTTTGCTTAAATGTGAATAAAAGCATCACTAAAAGTCAATAAGCAACATGCCGTGGACATGAATAATTTCTTCATTTTAGGGTTTGAACCATTTATATTCACAAAGGTAAAACATAATGGCTCAGCAAGCCCAGCCTAGACTGGAATAGCTTTTGCCTTCTAGAGCTTTGTCGTTCTTGGCATGTGTCAGAAATGTTGAAACATTTGATAAGCAGTTTCCTACCGCTGAAGCAACACGAATCTTAGCAATATTTTCCTTTTTCTTTAGAAGTGTTATTTAATGTGTTATTTAAATAACGCACTAAATATTAATATTTTAATTTTATTCCTATCTAAAAAAAATGCAAATGTGTTACAATTATTTTATTTAATTATAAATAAGAGTAAAAATAAAAAGATATATTTTAATTATTATACTAAATAAATTTTTTAATAATTATAAATAAATAAAATGAGACAATTAAATCTTACAAAAAAAAATAAATTAAGTGTAAAAAATAAATATAATTAAATAAAAAAATCTCAAAATCAAAAAGCCAACCGCTTATTTTTGTAATAATTTAAATTATAGAATTTAGTATATACTAAATTGCATAATAATTTTTGGGGAAAGGGAAAAGTAGGTCGACCTGCAGAAATAATTGCAGATGAACCTAAATGAAACGACCTCGTTTCATTAAAAAGAGGACTTTTCGGCTCTTCCTCTGTAGTACCCTTCGGCAGGTCCTCTTCTCATCTCTATCAACTGGACCTCATGGCCGCCGGGGCTCGTTGCCGCCAGAGGGTCTAATGTTTCCTCCTCCAGTTGAACACAATGTTACAAACTCCTCCTCTCCTACGACATAGGGTTCACAATCGAAAAAGGGCCTAGGGTTCAGCATGTAGATGAGCTTCTTCATTCCTTTTTTTGTGTTTTCTAATCCTATGTTGATTCCTGTGTTACTTCATTAATCTCATCAATTTTCTAATACTTTTGTTTTTTTGGGTTTTTTCGTTCATTACTTATTGAATTAAGGTTGAAATTCCTTGCTTTGGTTTGTTTGATTTTTTTTTTTTTAATGTTGCTTGATGATCAATGCTAGTACTGGCTTAGACATGATATAATTTCTGTAACAGCAAGTGGTACAACCAAAAGAGTTTTGGGATCAACAACTACTTTATAAAGAGACTTAGAAGGCTCACAAATCTATCAGGTTATTCTATGTTGCCATAATCCTTGAGTTGCTGTCATTTCCAGCAGGGGTATGAATTAGTATTGTACCATGTCTATCTTATTTGCCTTGCTGTGGTTGGTGTTGAATGGGTGCTCTGATCCATTTTTATAATTTGTTTAGGATGAATTGTATGTGAAGAGCATATGCCAAGTTTGTCATTTTTAGTGATTCAAAACTTCATGGAAATGATGGCTAGGTGGAGTTTAGGATGTAGCAGGTAGGTACCTAATATATTTCAGGAAAAACTTATGGAGGAGACAAGGTATGTGTTTTGAAATTTAATCATATGGCGTCGTTCTTTGGGAGAACGTACTAAGTATTATGACATTGTAAATGTTTGAGTACTCTTTATACTCACATATAAATAAAATTCTAATTGCTGATCTAAATAAAAAATCCCCTGTACCATGCTTGTGTTTTTTTGGCCTTCTGTTTTATGTTTGATTGATTCAGTGCATTTAAGTAGCATTTATGTTTCTGGTTTGGTTCTATATTGAGTGGGTTATATTCTGTCTTTTATAGGTATTGAGGAAGATTTGCTATTATGGTCTCAAATGGCAGCTGCTAAAATATATGAAAGTGGAGTCATAGCTTTTGTTAATGTGAGCTTCTTAGCTTGCATTATTCAATGGCAATATTCAAATCTCAAGGAAAGAGTTCTACAGAAGTTGCAGCTAGTAGGTAGCTATCCCTCAAGGACGATCGATTGGAAAGGGTTTCTGAGAAGATCCAAGGATAGGAGGGATGGAGTTTGGAGGTCAAGAATTGCGAGCACGTAAGTTCGCAGTGAATAGTGTTGACTGAAATGGCGCCTAAATAGCACAAGCAACACGTTCCCTTTAATTTTGTCCTTTATTAGTGTTTTTCTACAACGTTTTTTACATGATACATTATTTTAAGAAATTTAAAATTTTAATTCTTAATTAATTTTAATTAATTTTTAACATATTTTTAGGGTTTGCAAAAATTAGAATATTTTGGAAATTCAACTGTCAGGAGTCCTATGATAAGATTTAAGTATTTTTAATGAATTAATATGCAAAAAAAAAAAAAATTAAGAGTGTTTAAACAATTTTGTAAGTAATCATGACATTTCAAATATTATGACACTATG